TAGACTACTGGATATAATAGCAATAATTTCAAATCTAGCTTTCTGAAAAAAGCTCACTGGACCTGGTTTCTTACTCTAAGGGGAAGAGCCTGTGTCTTTTCCAATCTGAGCTTAAATTTCTCAAGGGGCCTGTGACCAGATGCCCTTTTGTCTGCAACTATCTCTCCCTCACTCAATGGTGGTGGGAAAGTAACACTGGAAACCCTAAAGTAGAGTTGTTTTGTAGAAATCTGTCTTAAACAATCCCTTCCTAAAATGGATCTTGATTAAACACACTTTGGAAATATGGCAGGTGCTACACTGAATTTCTTCTCTAGATTTCCATGCAGGAGATGCTTTCAAAGCAAGACCCCACAGTGTTTTGGTAGTTTATTATAGCTGTGGGCTTTTCTTGGAGTGACTGCTTTGGGGTGAGTCTGCTGTTTCTTCTCAGAGCTGTTGACTCTCTGGGACATACCTTGGATGTTGCCTTGTCTGTATTCAGGTTGGAGGGTGGGTTGGCACCTCTCCTGCCTCATGTTCAGGGGACATACAACACAGATCAGTCTTGTAGCTCTAGGTAGACGTGACAAGGGGAAAGAATCTATAGGTGCTGAATTGGCTGGCACAACAGGCACATGTGGGGAGGCTTCTTTCCCAGGTCTGCAGGCAGCACACTAATGAAAGTTTTATAGCTGGAAAGTCATAAAAGGAAAGGACTAAGAGAGTAAAGCTAGACTAGGCAATTAATAGGGTCATGGCTATGATAAAATACATAATACACATTGATTTCTCCCAACTGTGAAAGGAGGGAAGAAGGTGGAGCAAGTAGAATGGTGGAGAAAGTGATTATAATGTGTTATGTGCAAGTACAAATTTTCCAAAATGAAACTCACTAATCTGGATAACCAACATATACTAATAAAACATGGTTAAGGGGAATCTTGTGGTTCTTTAGTGGGTAACAAACCAGTGTATAATTAAGCAGGGAGTGTATACTACACATGACAGTTGGTCTAGGTTGGATCAGAGGTAGCGAAGATTACACGTCTTCTGAGGCAAAATAAGAATCTAAAGACATCCCATCAGGGAGGCAGAAAGTGGACACTTGGGAACATTTAATCCTCATGTCTTGTGTTTCTATGAATAGACAAAAACTTCTAATCTGTTCTACAAGAATGGATAATTGTGGAAAAAATGCTTCCAGTTTATCTCTGATCTTCCTTTTTCCCAAAAAGAAGTCACTTATCTTTTGTGAATTTAGAAAAAACTTTCTTTTTCCATAAACTACAAATGCAGAAAAAACCCTGCATTCTAGGCTGCTGTTTTAGGAGAAAACTCAGTACAACCAGACATCTAAAGATGTGTTCCTCAGTCAACTTTATAAGTAATGAAGTTAGTATTTTGGTGGCTGTTTGTGCATTTTGGGGAATTATATTGCAAAAGAAAGACTATCCATCAATAATTGGGGAAATATCCAAGAAAATCAAGAGAAGATTTTCTAACATTTGTGTAATCAAACCACACAGGCATTATTGTAGATAGCTATTTTATCCTATGCTAGAGCTAGCATAGATGTAAATATTTAAGTTCTAAAAGATAAAGCTGAACTCTGAACATATCTGGGAAGATTTACTATTTTATTTTCAAACCAAGTCCCATATTTTAGATTGTACATAGGATGTAAACATTTATTGAACAACTAAGGCATTTACTAGGCTACCACACAAATATATAACTTGGCTTAATTAAGCATTCCATTTGGTAAGGTTCTGTGCACTTAACCAGCAACTGTATATCTTCTAACTTCATCTCTCTGCAACACAGTACTATGTTATCTTTTCTCTTCTTTATCAGACACCCCATTGTTACAGTAAGACACAAAAGAGATGAAACAGTACAACAACATGAAATGGATGAATATAATGAAATACCAATAGGTGACACAAATTTTCAGAGGAATGAAAAATATGAACTTTTTTTCAGATGATAAGCAGTATTTAAATAAAAAGGGGAGTAAATGATTGGATATTTCAAGCCATAGCTGTTGGGCACCAGAAAATTATAGTACTAAGTAGGTGGACCCAACTACTTGTTCTGGCTTGTATGCAGGTATCCCCCCACAGCCTCATGCACTTTTTTCATGAGAGATTTTGGAGCTGGATGGATCTAAGTTGTACAAATGTGAGATTAAGGATGTGTGGGGCAGAGTGGATTTCCTGAAGGCAGAAGCCCCACCCTGGGTATGTGTGTCACCACCCAAAAGATTTGTAGAATTGGATCTCATAAAAGAGCAAGGAAGTCTTGGTTCTTCTGCTGCTGTGTTTTGCTGCTTTGCTGCCTTCTGCCTGCCCTGCAGTGAACCGTTTCTCTTCTGTGCTGCCTCTCTGCCATACCACCCTGTCTTGAAGCCAGATGTCTATGCGTTGAAGCCTTGGAAAACTATGATCTGAGGTAAAACATATCCTCCCTTAACTTTGGGTGTTAGGTATTTTGTCTCAGCCTGCACAAACTAAGACACTACCATAGGGAAGGAGGAAAATTTTTTGAATCAGGGATACACTCATACTCAGCTGCTGGGAGAAAGTGGGAGGGAAGCAAAACATACCTCAGAGAATCTATCCCATTGGTTCATCTGCTGCTACAGCTCCTCTAAATTGTTTTGGATCAGAAATCATAACTAATGTATGTCTCTTCATATAGTATTCTATGAATGTTACTTGTAGTAATTCCATCATAATAATTTTCAAAACACTAAATCTCAAAGAATTGGTATACCCTATAATCAATACAGTAAATTGATTTCCCCAAAGCAATCCTGCACAGATCAACCCACTAGTTCAATTAAATGGGAACCACTGACTTTGGAAGAAGCTACAAGTCCTCTAAGGAACATGCACTTTTTTGTTTCATAAAATTTTAAAATGTACTAAGTATTAAGATATAAAGTTATAGTTCAGCTGACTGAAGTGCCTGCTTAGGCAGAGTGTACAGCTCGGGGTTTGATCCTTAGCACTACAAGTGTGCTGAGATGGCTACTGAAACTGGGCATTGTGGTGCACACCATTAATCCCAGCAGCTGCGAGGCTGAAAACAGGAGGATCACTACAGGTTTGATCTGCGTAGTGAGACCTTATAAACCTGTACTGAATACATAAAAAATATTCAGTTATAAATTTTAAATTTATTTCTTAATGTCTAAGAGTTGTTTTAAAAAAAATTCTATGCAGTCAATGGATGGTCATTTTTAATGCCTCTGAAAAGTAAAAAGAAACAGTTAACTCATAGTTTTGATAAATACTTGAACAAAACCAACTAAAACAAACCCTCAAACCTATAGCAGTTCATAAATAATATCAAGCTTACCAGAACCGCAGAGAGGGAGGAGACAGGGAGAGGCTGTCCATGGACTATTGGTTGGCTGGTAAGTGATTTCAGGAGTCAGTTTATTTATTTTTATCCCTCTCCAATCCCCAGTTATTTACAGAAAGCAGTCAGAGAGTTAATCTGGCTCAGGTTGCCACACTCCAAACCTGCAACTCTTACCATATCTAACCCTTTCCCAGGTTCACTTCTTTAACTAACAAAAATGCCTGAGGGAGTCACTTTGTATAAGCTTCTAGGATCCAGAGTTTTGAAAATATTGGTATGCCTCTGTGTCATGGAGGTAGATGTCAAAAAACAATGAGATGAATTATTTAATGGTAAAGCATGATAAATTCTTTGTTGTCTCTCTTATAGGACCATGTGAAACATAGCAGGTTAGCAATCACATCAGTGTATGAAATATGTCTACTGTTACTTAAAGTTACATTTCTTTTCTGCATCTAATAGTAAAGTCCAATTTCATCAAGAATTAACAAATTCTATGAGAGATCAAGGTAGAGATGGATTTTATTTTCACACACAAATAAGATTTATTCCTTACCTATTTCTCTCCCTTTTTCGATTCATGCGAACAGCCAACTCTGAGCCCAACTACTTTCAGTGTCCCTATTCTTTCTGGTTTTATTTCTAAAAGTAAAACTAAGCCCACAGAAAACTGTTCACTGTTTTTAAGAGAGAGAGTATTTTCAGAAATAAATAGAAGAGTAGGAGGAAGAGAGGCCCTTGCCCAGGAATGTAGGTGCTGGAGCAGGGAGATACTAAGCATACCCTCCAAAAATTTTCAGGGAGGCAACAAGAGGCTCGAACAGAAGTTTCAGGTAATGGCATGACTGGGAAGGAAGGAGGATATGGAGGCATCAAAGGGAAACCAGACCAGAGGGAAAAAGGGAATGTAAAGATGACATTGTCCACAAGACTCACTCAAAAAATAGCTGTCCTCACCCATGCTAAGTGGCTGTCTCTTGCCTATCACTGGTAGTATATCAGAGAGACCCCTTAGTATTTCTGGTCATTTTCAACTATATCTACAGTATAATTGTGAAGAAAATATAAGTTTAACTTTATTTACCCATTTGTACTAAAGATTCCTCCCTTCTTTGACCTATAGTCTGACTTCTGGCTTTGACTGGGTACAGAGTAGGAAATGCATGCTGTCATCACTACTGTCTCCTTCTAAACCTCAGTTTCCAACATCAGTACCCTACCTGACCTCCAATTTAGGAGAAAGGCTTGTGAGGAAAGACCAAAACCTATGACTTTTGCTGTTTGTCCTTGTGTCTAGAAGGTTATTATAATATATTCTTTCATTTTTTTTCTTTCTCTCATTATATTTTCAGATTATTATAATCACTTCTGACCAGGGAAATCTAATCCACATGATTCTCTGTTGAAATACCTTTCGAATGACTGCTTAGTTTCTACCACATGGTGATGCCCCAATAATCTATTCTTGCTCAAGTCCTTTCACTTACTAGTCAGCCTCTGCAGATGGCTCAAATTCGGCTCTTCTCTAGCGTCCCCTGGGCTGTATGCAAATCTCAGATCAATAATACATATTGGGGTTGGAACACCTTTCACTAAAGTCAGAAGTCAATGTTCCTCCAAATAGGATTTATCTGGAAGACAACATGTAGAACACGAGGCTCATGGCTGGAGTGAACAAACTCAGCACAGTGAGTCAGATCAAATTTGTCATCATTGGCTTCCTCCAAATAGGAATGATGAGAAATTCTGACATGCTTAGGAATATGGTTGAGACTTATTGGTAAAACAGTAAGTCAATCACATGAATATTGTCCTTGGAATTGAGTAACACATGTCTCTGATGTTAACATAGGCCATGAAAGCTTTTCTATTTTGATATATTTCCATGGTCCTTGCCACTTTGCCATAGTTGTAGAGGGTGATGCATCAATTGCCACTGTCCTGTAAGAAGCTGAAGGAGTGATTTCTAACCGAATTGTAACTTTATAAATTGTGGTGTTTAGTAGAGATTACCATTTCATTCAAATGTTAAGAGTTCTTGTTGGTAGAACAAAATAGAGAAGAGATTTTTGTCCTTGTCATTCCCTTCCCCCAGCCCATCGTCTTTTCTCAATTACTACTTTAAACCCTTAAATCACTGTTAAAGACTATTTGTTACAAAGTTGGCTCTATTTGCCATCGACTTTCTAGATTTTACCTTGTTCTTATGTGGCCCCTGAGGAACCATCATGCTTTAATAAGTTCCTATTCTATTGATCTTTTCTGTTAATTTTTCAAAATACTCAGTAGGAAAGCCCTTTGTTCTGTTCTAGGAAAAATTTGTTGCATGGACATTTATGCAATATTAATAACAGTTATAAAAGAACAAAATTTCATGCTTAAGAGTACTATATTACTGTATCACTACTGTCCACTTCATCTCTAAAGAGCTATTCAGTGCTGCTAGGTCAACTCTGGTAAGCTTAGTTAATGAGAAAAAGAGAACAAAGAAAATAATTTATCTGTAAATTAAAAAGAAAACTGCATGGTTGGGGGTCTCTGAGAAATCACACATTTGTGTATTCTGTCTCTCACTCTGCCTTTGTGATTTATCAAATCTTCTTGATGTTTCAACTACACATCTGAATCCTTAGAAAGATAAGAAACAAAATCTAAACTTGGCAAACTATTAAAATGTTCAAAAAGAAAAAATAAAACAAAACAATAAGGTGGAATTGAAGGGCCAGTGAGATAGCTCAGCAGACTAAGTGCCTGCTTAGGCAAGTACAGAGACCCAGGTTCAATCCCCAATACCACATGCCCCATCAGCCGCACCCCCTGGTATGCTGAGCCAGTCACTAAGACTGGGTGTTGTGACACACCCCTATAATCCCAGCACTGGGGAGGCTTAAAACAGGAGGATCACTATGAGTCCGAGCACCATAGTGAGACCCTGTACAAAATATGTTTAAAAAAACAAGGTGGAATTGAATGGAGAAATGACTGTTCTTAGTTCACAAAGAATATTTTTGGGAGGATGACACTGCTTCATATCAATTTTAAATAAATAGATCATACAACTCTCCTGAGTCTCATTCATCAGTTGATTATGAGCTCTTCTACAATTGTTTTCAAAGTTTCTATACATTCATCAAGACCTATTTGGTGAAATTGGCAGATAAAATCATCCATTCTTTAAATGTGTTCAAAGACACATTTTATAAACAAGTTATATATTTTAGACCAGCTCATTTTTCCTAACAAATTAGCTGCTAGACGTGTAGATTTTATGCCATCATCATTTCATTGATTACTGGCAGAAATATTAGGGCTCCAGTAATCGGGAATACAGTTCAATAAGATAGTTTCAAATGCATAGAGGTGGGTACATGGTCCTAATGTGAATCATTTTATTTTAATTAAACTCATTACACACATATTTATTAGCTATTCATGTATACCCCAGATACTTCACGTGCTATACAAAACATAGTGATAGTCTGAGAAATATCCCATGCTATTCTGTTTGTAGCAATTAACATCTAACATCCTGGAAGCCATGCAACATGGGCAGTAAATCCAGTCCCGCATGATCAATGGCAACATCTTTGACTGGGCAGCATGCTGGAGTGAAGGTCATGTGTTCTAAATTCTGTTCATGGCAGTCTTCTCCTCAAAGCAAATCACATCTCTTGACTCCTTAATTTTCCAACATTAGAGGTTGGCAGAAAATATTAGAGAAAAAATTGGCAGAGGCTGAAGACTTTGTTTTACAAGAACATACATTTTATATATGTATGTATATATGTATGTATGTATGTATGTATGTATTTGGAACAGGGTCTCACTACGCAGTTCAGACTCATAGTCTGATCCTCCTGTTCTCAGCCTCTCCAGCACTGGGATTACAGGCATGTGCCACCACAACTAGACTAAGTGGCTGGCTCAGTGCACCCGGGGATTGGGCCTGTGCATCCTGTGGTGTCAAGGATTGAACCCGGGTCCCTGCACTTGCCTAAGCAGGCACTTAGTCTGCAGAGCTATCTCGCTAGCCCTGCCAGAACTTTTAGTCTCAACTCAATTTATAAACCATATATTAACTAAGCAATTCTTATATTGATTTGGGAGAATCTGAAATCTTGAGATTTAAAAATAGCTGAGGATTCATGTTATCACAGTAAGGTGATAGAAATAGGGCAGAATATTATTCAGTGTTATTTTAAATAATCTATATCACTGTTTGCTTCCTTTATTAAATTTTTTTGAGGGGAAAGGTCTATAGGGTGTTCAGGGTCTCATTACTAGATTGTACTCGTAGTGATCTACCTGTTTACAGCCTCCCAAGAGCTGGGATTACAAGTCAGGATTGTGGCCTAAATTTGAGAAAAGCAAAAATAGGAACTTCTTAGCTGAGAACAATGTAAAACCAAAGTGGAGAGTGTTCAGTTTTAACTCATGTTAGAATTACCCAGGAGAATTTTTAAAACACTGGATCCTTGGCAACCCTCCAAATCAATTGACTCAAACTTGCTTAGGGATTCTGAGCATGAACATTTCCCAAAGTTATTTATCTAATGTGTAGCTAGAGTTGAGATCCATTTCAACAGATACACCAACAAAGAGTTAGAAAAGGCTGTCTCCATGGCTATGGAAGACTCTGGGGAATGGGAAAATTATTAAAGAACAACAGAATTGCCTAAAGAGCTCTTTAGATGAAGAAAGTCATAGAGAACCAGTGAGAACAGCAAAAGAGGTTTCTAAGAGCACCAAGTAGAGAAGAAGTTGGTTGGGGAAGGGGCTGAATCTGACATGCCAGAGGGTCTCTTAGCTGAAGACACCCAATTATTTGACTTTGTAATTGCCAATGTGAGACATTGGCAGATACTTTAATAAAAGAGCTTTTGAGCATCTCAGAGCAATGTGAAATAAAACTGTTATCCAATGATTTTATAGTAAGCCTTTGCTCTGTATTATATACTATGGAAAATATAAAAACATAGTTCCTCCCTCTAAGGAGTATATTTGCAATGATTACAAAACATTGATCTCTCAAGAAAAATTGCTCATGTTACATATCATTCCAAATTTTCACTATTAAATTATCCTTTCTAACACCCTTGTTTGTTCTTCAATACAACTTAGGGATGACTTCAAACCTTCTGTAAGTAGTTATTATGCAGTGGCACAAACTATACATGGTGCAGTTTGAAGAAAGAGATTATTATGGACAGGCTTCATAGAGGGCTTCATAGAGGGCTTGGACTTGAGTTGGGTTTGATGGCTGAACTAGTGAGAGATAAGGGTTTTCTTTGTCCTGAGGATGGATGTCTTTCCTTAGGGTCACTTAGGTCTGGTTTGCTGATTTCTCACTGCTCTTGTGGTATGCCCCAATATCTCCAGGATAGGTGAAACCTTGTATGAGTCAATTATCATAAAGCTCAATAACCAACATGGATTCAAACTGCCACACTCTTCACAGTGTGCTTTGGCCCAACCACATGTGCCTATCACCCTAGCAACTTGGAGCTCTGACCAGACTAAAGCAAAGAATACTCTATCTAAGAAGGAGTAATAAATCTGAAAACATAAATGGCTACATCCTAGTTTATTGATATTAAAATAAATGATAGAATGATATTTTGTTTTTCCAGATTTCATAGACTATCTTGTGCACACCTAAGACAATTAAAATAAAATATTCTTGTAGGGGTTAGCTGTGTTCAACAAGCCTATCAAGAATGGAATAAATGAATTAAAATTTGGAGATAAAGAGGAAAAATGGGTATTAATAAAGGAGTAATCTGCAGCATGCTGTGTATGCTATGGTCTTCCTAAGGATGATCACAGTAGGGGTGGCCCTGATGTTCCCCTAGAGCTGAAACTGTCAGGCCTGATGTTCAGCCATGAACTGTGCCAGAACAGTGCCCAGAGGAAAAGCCTACAGTGGACCATTGTAATCCACCCCCCATCTGCGCCAAAGAAGTTCAGCATATCCTGTCAAATGCAGACATTTGGGTGCCAGACTAGAGATTTTTGATTCAGCATGTCTTGGGTTCAGGCTAGGAGCTTGCATCTTCAACAAATTCCCAGGTGATTCTGTTGGTGGCCCAAGGATCTCATTTTGACAAATCAGTTGATTGGCTGGTGTCAGGGAAAAGTGTCCTATGCACAGGTGAGTTGACCACTGGTAGCAAAAGCCAGATGATCCATGCACTGGATCCTCACAGGAAGAAGGATGAGGTTCAAATGGGCTGGTGTTGGTTACTTTTCACTTGTTGCTGGGACAAAATACCCAACACTCAAAATCAAGGAAGGAAAGAGTTATTTAGCTCACAGTTTGTGGAAGTCTTAGTCCATATTTGGCTGGCTCTAAGGCAGAGTGGCACGTGGCAGAGGGCAACCGTTCATAGTGGCAGAAAACAGCAAATGGCAAATGGATGAGCAGCAGTGGAGGCAGCTAGCAAGCATTTTTCCCTTCATTATTTTGTATGCAGATTACCCACCCCAGAATTACTAACATCCATAATCCCATCATTGAATCACGAATTAATCACAAACTCTAGCAACTACCACAATGACTGCATGAGGCTTTGGGGGAGACAAGCTAGATATAACCATAACATTCTGCCCCCAGACCACCAAAGACTCACATTCATCCCTTTATGCAAAAGACATTTTAGTCCATCTCTAAGAGTTGCCAAAGTTGTGACAGTTTCAGCATTGCTAGGATGTCCAATTCCCAAGTCT